GTGTTGTATTGTATGAGTATTTGGGTGAAGAGTACCCCGAAGTGTTGGGCAGCATTCTTGGAGCACTGAAGGCCATTGTGAATGTAATAGGTATGGAATTTGCTGGTCACATAAGATTTTTTGTTTTGTTTAACTTTATTTGGTTTTTTGCAAGTAAAACATAGGAGTTGGGAGATTTATATGACTTTTTTTAAGCACTTAAAGATCATAGTTAAGTTGAGTGCCTCAAAAGTCTTGTTTCCTATAAGCTCATTTGTATTTTCAAAGAGAAAAAAGGGCAAGTTTGGGACCTAAAAGAAAGGTGGGCATTGTCACAATTCAAAAAGCTTTTTAGTCATAGAATAGAGTACTGTAGAAGAAATAGTGTGTCAGTTGAGATATATTCTGCCATGTTCTGCAGGCAGTGAAAGGGCAACCCTGAAGTTTTAAAAAAAACAATATATATATATATATATTCAACCTTGAATAAATAAGTGATTATGACAGTTTTTTGCTTGCTATCAAGTTCAGGGAATGTAACCAGACAGAAAAGTGAATTAATTGTTACTATCTTATCTTTTTAATATACCCAAGTCTTTCATATTGTCCATTCAGTTTTCAAATTCAAAGTAAAAACACAATTAATATTGCATTATAATATTACAATGTTCCTGGGTGTGGAGAGCAAAGCTTTTATTCTTTCATGGCAGTATGATGTATCCTTCATTATAACTGAACTTCTGCCAAAAATCACTATTGTAAGGTTAGAGGGTCTGAAATAACATAGCAGGAGGTCAAAACTGTGATAGCCACTGTTTTTCTCATATTAATAAGGGATTTTTATGCAATGGAGATTTTTGAACTATTGCATTTACATATAATCTCCAATTTAGCCCAGTCCTCTATGAAAATAGCTACTTACCAGAAATCAGTTACTTGGCCACTTGTAGGGCTCTGGTTTCCAGGGAGTTGGTAAGCCATATTGTTTGTCAAGGAAACATGGGAAAAGCAATGGAGAGAGAATCAGAGCAAGCACTTCTAGTTAGAGCAAGAGCCCCTGCCAGCTGCCTCCTTTTTTCTCTCTTCATAGGTGTAAATACCATCCAAGTATGCCCTGCATTGCAGGGAGACTGGAGATCTGTTTGTTTTGCAGTTAAAGGGTAAGGGGGCCCTTTTTGGAAAATTTTGCTTTAATTTACGTGTTTAACTCTGGCTTATCTTGTTATGTATGGCCGGAACATAAGCTGTCCCCATATTTAAATGTCAGTGCACAAGTACATTTCAGAACTAAATAAAACTTTTTTTGTTATTGAGTATCCATCATTTAAATCACTTCACTGATTTCTTTTATTTCTGTGCATAATCAGAACTTGTTAATAAAAGTTTAAAACAATTCTGAGTCTGGTTAGAATCTGGGGCTTTCTATTTTCATAGGCAGCTGTAAGTTTATTTTATGCATAGTCTTGTATATGATATTGCTAAATAAAATGAAAGTGAACAAAAGTTGCAGTTCAAACATTGATAGTTTGTTGACTTCTGTTAAATAGGTATGCATAAGATGACCCCACCAATTAAAGATCTACTGCCTAGACTCACGCCCATCTTAAAGAATAGGCATGAAAAAGTACAAGAGAATT